CGCCCTGCCAGCCGAGGCGGGCGCGGGATAGCGCTTATAATTAGAAAATTGCTGTATAATAGTTCATTAGGGTTATACTCTATTCAAGAATCCCACCAGACTACAGATTAATGCTGCGGCGAAAGGAGCCAGAAATCTCTTCTTGGAATCAGGCCCCCAGTGCGCTGCCAGCCTCATTAGCCAAAGCGGAGATCAGGTTCTGCTCCACCAATCCCAGAGTTGAAAAGCCCCAGACCTTAGCAACATAGCAACATATTGTTGAACGCCTCTGAGATGCCACTGAGGGAGCACAGCACGCACGAAAGAAGAGGAGATGTGGCTCCCGCCATTGAATTCTGTATGGCATGTGCGCTGGCCGATCGGCCGGCAGGTCTTTGCCAAGCCAATGTGCTGAAGCGGTTGTTGGTGAAATAGCCACTCGACACATGCTTTGCTGCATTACTTCAGGAAGTACATCAAGAGTATGAAATATGCTGACCGGCAAAAGTCTGCTGCTATTCCCGTTGCCTAGATCTGCTGCTATGCACGTTCTGGCACACATCTTTGTAGCCGCCACGCGGCAATGACAATTTCATGTCTGAAAAAATGGCCTCTCGGGCGCAGGCCAAGTTTGCCAGGCCCTGACCTTGCAGGTACTAGAAGATAGTATTGACCTAAACCTTTATCCTCATAGTTGATGAACCAGCCGGAGCAGCAGTAGAATTAATAGGCGGTGGTGGCCGCGACTGCATCTGTAGTAGTGTTTAAGATTTTTGGAAATACCAGTACTGGCGATGGGTTGCGCGGGGATACCTGCTTCGCCTTAGCAGGCTCGAGTATGACAGCTTGCGGCGACGGGCAATTGGTATTTCGTGTACAAGGGCCACGTTTGCTGCACATCCAGGTAATGGCATGATATCATGCCCGGAACTTTCCAATTCTTCGCTTAGCAGTTGCCTCTTGCATCCTAGTGGGCCATGCATAGCAAGTGTGCGCTTCATCGGCCTTGAGACGCGTAAGTTGCTGCTCCAGGCTACGATAACGTTCAGCATTTGGTGCCATACTGGCCGCAGTACTCGCCTTGTGCCTAATTGGGTCCAAGGGCTTCGGTCACACTGCCGTGATATATCTTCTGTTTTGTACTGTAGTTGACTAGTTTCACGTTCAACACACAAGCACCATCACTCAGTTGCCAGCCTGAATGTTTCGGCAGTGTGCTCAGAGCTTCCAGGGAAGTGGCTGCAAACCTAGGCAGAAGACACGGCAGCCTGTCTATCTGAAGCCTAACCACGTCAGCAGCCAGACTCTTCCAAATTGAGATGTGTAAGGCTCGGACAAAGGACCATGCAAGTGCCCTAGCGTGGCGAACCTGAGTGCAGCTCTGCAAGGTAAAGACTCACAACGGCTGTGAGCCTCAACAACTGAACAAAAGCTTCAACACGCAGGTAGCCCCCAAATTCTGCAATCCTCAACAAGAGGACCGACCCCCAAAGACATCCATGATTCCGACAGCCCGCAAGAGTCTTGGCAGGCCCGGAGGTGTTGGGCCCCGGGCCCCCAAGCAGTGTTTGCCAGCGCCTGTGGCTCGCAGTCTTGGAGCCCTGAAGCGAAGGCATTGGCAGTCGCCTCCAAGCCTTTTGGAATCGATGGTGTTGGGGTTCCTATGGTGAAAAAGGGGGTTGCGATGGGTAGCGGCTTCTGTAATTATCATATGGAGTCATATGCCATATGGTGAAGGTATGGCGCGACTAGGCTTTTGGAAGCTGCTACAACTTTTTGTTTGTGTGGGATAGATACTCCGGGAGCAGACGGCCTGCCGTGCTCCCCTCTCAGAAATTAGGTTGAAGCCTTGTCTGCCCCTGCTGAAGTCTGAGCAAAGCAAGGCACTAGTTCGAATTGACTTGGAGCGGGACCTGCCGAATGCAACCGAACACAAACACAGGCGCAACTTAGGTGGTGCCCAGGGCTGAGGAAACAGGATCTCAAGAGCTTTGGCCAACACAACTGCGGCAAACTCTAAATTACGAGCTGTTGCGACTTCTTGTCATGAATAGGTGTGCCATACAGCAGTTGCAAGCCGTGCAGATGCAGTTATGCACTAGCTTGTCTGAGGGCCGTGCAAGAACCATCCGTTGTACCAAGAGTTGCGACGGCCCAGACTGCATTCGACCTCGGCATCAGCAGCAAATCATGTAGGGCAAAGTCGTTGGACTGTAGGCAACCCTCTAGCGGTACAAATCACAAAAACCGGAGGAGGCCAAACTACCGCCCAAGTTCCTCCAACAGTCAAGAAGAACCGAGATCTTGCACAGTGCACATTGAACATTATGAAGCCGAAGCCCGCAAGCCATGAGTCAAATGGAGCGCCTCAAGCTTTTTGTTGGTTCAAGGCTTCAGAGCATTCCGAATGAGCCAGTTGCCTGGCCTCGTGCAAGGTCTGGAAATTCAACGTAGCCAGAACCAGAACATGCATCCCTTCACCTACGTTGACGTCGACGGAATGTCTGAGAGAAGCGGCCGAGAAAAGCAAAGGCCAGAGGCCCGCACAGGTTCTGGGAATTGAGCTCCTAAAGTCTGTCCATGGAAGCCTGGCAACTGAATTTTGCATGATGCTTCTTCTTCTGCTGCTGCGTGCTCTTAGCACTCCACCTTCTACAGCGGTACATTTCTGCCAACTCAAAGCATACACTTGCTGCTAGTGGTACTATCATGCATGGTGAGTGAGCGCTTTGACAGTTGGGCCGCGAGCCTCCCTAGAGATAAGGTTGACGTAGCATACGCTCGCAAGAGTACGATCGGAGCGCTGTAGGCTTGACAACTTCCTAGCTGAATTGACGACTGACAAAGCGAAGTGGTGTCAGGACCTGCGCAATTCTCAACTCGCACTTCTTCTTATAGTTCCTCATTGTCCACGTGCTGGGAATGTCTGTACTCTGTCTCGACGTCGCAAACCTCCGCGCCACCCTAGATGAATGTCTCCAGGCTGTCGGAACAGACTTTTCAGATACGCACACTGAACCCCATGAGAAGGAAAAGGGAACTACAACGCGATATCCAGTCCCTCAGCCTGACTGAAGTATGGATTGCAGCGCCCGGTGCCCAAGCACGAACACGCTGTACTACTGGCCTGGTACTTTGTAGAGACTTCTGACTGGATCCC